GATGGTGAACTCAGGGTGATGTGCGGCGGTACTTTTTTTACAACAGTAACATTTTGGAAGACTAAAGAGTTTAGTGCTGGCGTGCAGGCAGTGTCGTCGTTAGCGTGCACGACCTGTGCACGGAGGTCTTAGTCCTCGACGTGGCTGACCCAGGCTCGAATCTGACCTGTGGTCCTTTGCCGCATGTCTCTCCCCCTCTCTCATACCCCTATCCTGTCAGCCTACTGTCAGAAAAGAGCCACTAGTGCTGTAAAAACTCAAAAAAAAAAAAAAAAAAAAAGTTTAGTGCTAGGGTCGATCTTAATTAATCAAATCAGGACTCTTAAGCCAAAGCAGAAGTGCGTCAGCAGTCATCATGATAAGTGATGTTCAGATATTGCTGGCTGTAAGGAAGGAGGTGGGAAGAGGAAACAGGATGCCTTTTATTGATAATTTATTTAGCATCAGGACCTCCTGATGCTCCTATCTGGCTCTTAGGAGCTACATGGATTTCCACAATCCTTTACTTGACAGGACATACAGTAGGGCTTCACACAATTATTTCTTCATTGTACGCTGTTACACATGCAGACCAGGATGTTGAACTTAAGTATTTTTTTTTTAAACTTACTGCTAACCTAAAAGTTCTGAATTATTGTAACACATTTTTAAGTACATCTACCTCAAACACTTGGATTAATTTGAATTATTGTGTATTAATTGAGCATAACTTAAATAATGTGATAAAAAAAAAACTGTAATAAGGAAGTACTTGTGCAGATCTTTACACTAAGACACCATTGGCTGATTAGATGATGTGGATGTGGTTATATAATAATATAATTGAACTTCACTGATCTAACATTGGAGAGCTTTATCTCTGCATTTAACCCATCCCCTTGCGGAGCAGTGGGCTGCCATCATGGGGCAGTAGATAAATGAGATAGATTGCCAATGGAATGAGTATTTTTACTCTTAAAATAAGATAATTAGATAATATTCACTTGAAATAAAACAATGCAATTGTATTTTCTTATTTTAAGTGTAAATTGTCTTGTTCCATTGGCAAAATATCTCTTTTACCTCCTCAATCCAAGAGCAAATGCATTTATTTTAAGAAAAAAATGACTTAATTAGATTTCAATTTACTCCCCTCAAGTTAGTGACTCAATCTGGGCTGGGTAGCATGACATTAAATGTTGAAATGTTAATGAGGTTGCACTGTGTGATGAAATATTATGCTAATAGGTGTTAGTTGGTATCACAATAACTAAAGGTTATGAATGGAAAATCAGGCTCCCACGTTGGAACAGAACATGAAATGTTTCAGTTTAAATGTCTAAAATCCTTAAGTAAAATGTTTTGAGCTGGTTTTAATGAACAATTTAATTCAACTGAAATTAAAATGGAGAATTAAACTTAATAAAGAGAAAAATTTATGACAATTTTTTCTTTTATGTGAAATGTTTGAGGCATCTGGTTGCCGTCGTATATTTTGAGTTTTACAACAAAGAGCTTCAGCTGTTCCTTAGTTTTGTGTAACTTTTCCTTCTTAATTTTTTCATTTCTGTTTCAGAGGACTGCGGTTCTAGTCTGACCACCATCATCCATCCATCATCATGTGCATTTTTTTCACGTAGCTGAAGTCTTCCTGGATGAAGGAGAAGGAGCTTGGAAAAAATATTATTCAGATAGAAAGTTTGTCTCATCAGTACCTCCATGTTCACTCGATACCCACCCAAGATACACTAAAAAACAACCTACAAACCGTTTTTTGCTCTTTTTTGCCTGTCTTCTATAAAAGCCTGATTAGCAAATCGCCCAAGCTATTAATATCCAAGATCCTTTTATTCAGAACTGTTCATATTTGCACCTGCTTCAAGGCTTTTGGCTGTGTTTCTGAGAAATGATCTCCTTGGACCTGTCGTTGTAGGTCCTTGTAGGTTTTATTAATCTCACATTGGAGAAATGTACCTCTGCATTTAACCCACCACCATGGGGAGCAGTGGGCTGCTATCATGGGTCGCCCGGGACGCAATCAGGGGTTAAGGGTCTTTGCTCAGAGACCAAGAGTGGCAGTCTGTGGGAATATAAGCATCTTTAAATAAGTCAAACAACACACAGTATAAAATACTCTTTATTATTGCATACCCTTAAGAAAATAATACTGTATAAATGTATTTAAAAGACCAGAGCTTTTACAGTGTTCACATATCTTTTCATGCCTCTTCAGCAACTCTAACAAGGCGTCTATGAGCCTCATTCACAGGGATTTAATTCACATGTGGCTAAAAGCAGATCTCCGAGGTTTTAAGAGTCACATTCAACATCATCTACCAGCTAACAAATACTATTTGACAGTCAAAGAGGAAAGAAAACGGCAACCTGTGAATAGAGTAGCTCTATTTATAAAACAAACTGAGAAAAGTGTCATTAAATGCATCATTAAGTTTAGAAGAAACACATAAAAGATTTTTTTGTTCAGCAAGTTGACAAAAAAAAAATCTTGATTAATACAATTGCTTGAATATATCTTGCTGTGGCTGCAAGTGCTTACAATTTCAAACAATAAACCGTAAAATCTAAACATCACATAATGGAACCAGATATTTAAATTCCATAAGAGACAAACATGTCCTGTTTTATGTCAGTTAGGATCACCAAATATATTTATTTTTTGGTTAACATCAAATGAATGAAATTTAAATTAGATATTTCAAATTCAGGAAATACACTCTATGATTAAAGCAACTGGCAGCAATGCACTGCTACCACATTAAAAAGTCCACTTCACTGGAATCTGACCAGTTTGGAACAGCAGGTTGAGAAGATATGGAGTTACTGGTAAAGACTGGGAAACATTTACCCTTCCGGATTAAATCCTACATCAAAGAACCAAATATGTCTGATTAGGTAAGAGTCAGACCTGTTTGGTTTGCAAACAGCAACTTCTAGTTTAGTTAGGTCTGGTGTTAAAGGGCTGCCTAGACTGCCGGCTCATTGGGTCACATGATTCATTCTGAGACGGACCCGACTCTCTAAAGTTAAAAATCCAGAGAGCAGCCTGCACTGAGCATTAATACACACAAAGTGTTGCATACTGACCTAACAATGTATTTAATATTTCTCAAATTAAGCTCATATAGAGTTTTTTGCTAAAAGAGGATTGCAAGTAAAAAATAAAAGGCTTTTATCAACAATGATGTGGCTGACTAACTCGAAAAGTAACACACCTATCATACGTTCGGATCTTCATCTGAGTCTCATGTTCTTTTATTCTATTCTAGTAGCCACTGACTGCAGCTCAAACACTATGCAATAAAGCACACATTTAGCCAAAATGCAACTTATAAGCAGGTTTCTGTTTCCATGTTTCCCTTGGAGTCCACAACAGAGCGGCGCTAAAGGTGCATAACTGATGAAACAAGCTCAATCCAATGATGTCAGAATCATTTGCATTGTTTTAAAACAGGAGAGACCCACCTGATTATTGTTATTTTATTAACTTTTCAACTGTTTGTTGCACGGACACCAGGCTGGCTACTGATTTCCTTCTCTGCAGCATGAGTAAGAGGTTATTGATTGTAAACACCTTTTTTAGATATATTTAATTTTTGTGCCATTTAAACTTCATTTCTAAGGTGAATAAATGACTCGTTAATTTTTACATCCAAATCATCCTCCTGGACATTCAGGTTGATACCAATATTACAAGTTTAGGCACAAGTTGAGAAATGCCTTGTAAAGTATGAGCATGCATTTTTTGGTAAATAGACCCAAGAGCTTGATGGTGTACTCACACCTTCCACATTTCACTGGACCAGAGTTTGCAAACCGCCATAATTGTTGATGTATTATTGAAATCACACCTTTTAAGTTATCTGTTGCTTAGCAACAGTGTTAGCCACTGACACTGTCACCCATTTAAAAATTAAAACTCTTAACATCTACTTTAAATTTGCTGCTCTTAACACACTCAATGATTTTGCAGCTGTGGTTGCATTGATATGTAAAACAGGGGCTGCATGTAGGTTCCCCAAGGCAAATTTCCTCCATTTCTAGGAATGATTTCTGTTCTACCAAGGTCAGTTCAGAAGGTCACATGTGGGGCTATGCAGTGAGCTATATCCACTTGCAAAGCACAATTTGAATGCAAACCAGACCTAATAAGAATAAATACATTCTAGTTTTAGCCAGGGCCAAACATGCAAACCAAAGGGTTTTTTGGGTGCATTTTGAAAGAGCTCAGATGATGCACAATGAAGGCACAACCTATAACACGCTGTTTCCTTTCTTGTTTTTCTATCCACAGGAAACAGGCCCTGAATAAACATGAGCTGAAAAGCCACTCAGAGGGGAATAAGCCATCACTGCAAAAGCAACACACAAAACTCAAAAAGCTAAATACATTGTTAAATGTATGTCTTCTGAACTGGTAAAACTATCCCAGAACATTTGGGCTATAATGGCCGTCGTTATATTTCGAGAAACAATGTACAGACTGAAGTAAAGGGGTGGCAGCATCATGGTTTGGGGCTGCTTGTTATATGAAGGGCTGGTGCACATCTGCTCCAATTTGAGGAGAGATAATGTTCTGAAATTTTCAGACATCAGCCAAGAGATTATATTTTGGTCCAAGTCAGCAGTGTGGAGTGGCAATTACTAAACCTGGGTCAGTCCTGTAGAACGTAGGTCTTTAACAGGGGGTCCGCGACCCCTAGGGGGTCCACAAAGGTACTGCATAGGGGTCGCAAAAGTTTTGGTTGATTAGACTTCTTTTTATATACCACCCTGCAATTTTTTTCCACTAACTGAAATGTCTTTGAATCCACATTAACATGAATTCAACACTCTAGTACTGTAGTAAACAGATAAATGGAGGCAGAAGATGTCTTTCAGTCATCAATGCACACATTCAGCGACACACAGGAGCTCTTTCAAGCTGGACACCGTTTCATTCACAACACCTGTCCCATCAACCAGGAATCAGAATCAGAAATACTTTAATAATCCCAGGGAGGAATTACTTTTGTTACATTACTCCATCTGTAATAGAGTGACTATAGGACCAGTTTGATATAACACAATTTCATCAATATATATGAAATTAGGGGGTCCCCGCTCCATTTTCCATCAGTTTTGGGGTCCTTGGCCTGGAAAATATCGAAGACCCCTGCTGTAGAACATTAATTGGCAGAACTTAGATGTGTGTGAACAAAATGGAGCAACATTTCCGACTAAGTTACAGCAAGGTTGTTCGGAGGAATGGGACAAAAATCAAGCAAAGCATTGACAGAAGCTTTTGAAAGGATACCAAGATTTTTCCCCCAAAGTACTGCAGTTTAGGACTACTAAGCATTAGAAAAATTCGGATTTTAGAAGGTAAAAACAACATCAAAAAGAAAGAATTATCATTTGGTAAAAATATAAGGTTACTATTGTAATTCTTAGAAAGGCAGTGATTAATCTGTTGTAATTTCAGGCAAATAAAATAGATGTGCTTTCATATTTCTGTATAGAAACATCAATAATATACAATTCATGTAAATATCTGGTTTCAACTGAACTGTTGGACTCCCAGGTTCAGATAATTACAAAATAAACAATTGTGTTTTTTAAAAAGAAGACAAAGTCAATCACCCTGCTGCAAGGCACCACCGGGGACAAATCTGTAGCTCTTATTGCAATAATATAGTTAAAGGAACACAGTCTCTTTAAAACACCCAGTCAGCTGTATACACTTTCAGTCTTTCACTTTCTTAAATAGCAAAACTACAAAAAAAAACATCAGAAGCAACTTCTGACCGATGAAGTCTCTTTGCAACAAGAGCTCTTTCTGACTGAGGTGGAACATTTGAAAAGGTCAACTGAACACCTCCCTACCACGTTCCTTATCCTACATTCATTGAAAAATAGAATCCAGGAATAGCTTCATACACGATGCATGATGAGGATCATATGGTGTTTTTCTTTTCTTGTTTTCCTCGACATAAGCAGCCCCCTTATGACTTAAATAAAGATAAAGACTTTCACTGAACATTTCTCCACATGACTGTGAGTTTCACAGTCGGGAACGTTTTGCCAGGAGATCTATTGGACATTGCATTGGAGCTTTGTGCACCGACTACGTGTTTGCCAGATAAGCAGCAGCTGGTCTTTGTTATCTCAACAGCGACTGGTGCCTCAGAGATGCAGACTCCCAAAGGCTCCAGTCCTTTGAGTCTCAAATGACTCAGCGTCACAGTTTATCTTGAGCGTTTCCCCAAGCTGTAATAAAATGTCACCAATAAGGCTGATCGGTGCTAACTAATACATGAAGCACTGTGGCTATATATAGGCAAAAGTCTGTATTCTACATGTAAATAACCCTGTACATTGATTTACAAATGGCCTGAGCTAACGTGCTCTACAGATGCATTACCTTTTGGGTCCACCGAAAGGCTTTGTGTCCTCTGGACCAGCCTCAAACACGTGTCACCGGCTTTGGCAGCTTTTGCATGATTTATAACGGCCTGAACAGGAACAGCCCTGTAGTTTTGACCGATGAGTCTTTCAGTCTGAGAGGGAATGACTTCCACCCAGCTCCGTTTCCCACTCCTGACTCGGACGTGATCGTCTGTATGTTGGCAGTGACGCCGCTGTTTCTCCTGGTGGGAAGGCTGATGGGAATGTGGGTTATGTTGTTGGAAAGTGGAGTGAGTGTGTATGTGTGTGTGTGTTTATGAGGAGCTGGTGTATTTCTGACTGGAGCGGGAGCTAGAGCGATCCAGTCCGTTCCCATTGCACGATCGCTTGAGGTGACTCCCGGAGCACCGATCGTCCAGAGGAGATGTTCTGTAGCACCAGCAACATAGGCAAGACTACAACACAAGAAGGTGTACTGTGGATAAGAGTCCAGTGCTTTATAAACGTCTTTACAGCTTTATTACTATTATATTTTGTCTCATTACAACCATAAAACTGCAGTGTAAAATATAAGGATGCAGCTTAGGAGGCTTGGGGATGCTGCAAAGGTAGGAGAATGTTCTCTAGTTGTGGGAAACAGGCAAAATGCTAATGCAATCCTGCAAGATAATCTGCAGAAGGCCTGAAACTGAATCAGAAGTTCACCCTCAGTCTTCATCCATCAGAATGTCTCAGTCTAAATCCAGACCTTAATGCATCAGTACATCTATGGCAATACTTAAATGATGTTCAGAGAGACTCTCCATTCAATCTACCTAAACTTGAAACCCAAGGTATTATCTCTTGGGGGTAAATTCAAATGCTTACTGCACTTTTCAGGATTTCATATGTTAAATATGTGGATGTTCTTGGTTGTAACGTGACAAAATGGGAAAATGTTCAAGCCAAAGCGATCCTTCTTACCTGGAAACAATTTTTAAACTTCTGGCTGACAAAGTAGAGGGCAATTGGGTTAATGCAGGAGTTTAAAGAGGCCATGTTGATGCCGATGTAATCCATCACTAAAAGGAAACTGACAGAGGGGGGAAGGACAGAGTTTACTGTAAAGAGCACAGGAAGCCAGAGAAACCAAGAACAATGGGTTCTCGTCAGAATTGAATGAGCGTTGTGGCGGAAATCTGTGTCCCTACCTGAGCAGCTCACAGCGGTTGGGGTCATTTTCATCATAGACTGTTTTCTTCAGAATACGGCTGAGATGAAGGGGCAGCCAGCAGAATGCAAAGATCAGCACCAGGCAGAAGACCGTCTTCGCCACTTCCCTCCTCTACACCAGAGACACAGAGAAGCTTAAGCACTTTCCTGAAGGAGGAGGTTTGGATGTTTCACAACAGGGTCAGCGGAGAAGTTCAGAATAGTCCATATTTTTAACTCTTTAACAAACCTCTGAATTTGTTAATTTTGCAAACTCACAGAAGTACTTCCCCCAAATTTGAATATGTATGTACATTTATTACATACAAAGCATTTGCTTATATTAGAGATATTCTAACACAAACCAATAAAATAACCTTATGTGATTCATATTAGTGGCGGCCTAGTGGTTAGGGCATTGGGCTTTGAATCCTGAGGTTGTGAGTTCGATCCCCCACTCCCACAGACTGCCACTCTGGGTCCCTGAGCAAGACCCTTAACCCCACACTGCTCCCCGGGCGCCGCACAATGGCAGCCCCAAGGGGATGGGTTAAATGCAGAGAATTCATTTCGTTGCTCTGTACTTGTGACAGTGGAATGACAAAAAGTTGAATTCTAGAATTCTAGATATTAATTTGTATAGTAAAGCCTGTTTATTTCAAATACCTAATAATCAAGGTTACGTATTTAGTATTAATAAGGTATACTTACTCAAAATAAATACTAATGCATAATTTATAAATTATCTTCAATTAATTAAGTTACCAGAGGTGCACTTTTCTGACAAATGAACCTAATTATTCCACCTATAGGGATGTAAAAGAAATGTAAACTAATTTACCAATAAAATTCAACAGTGAACTTTACCACGCTCTTAAAGGAATAGTACACCCAAAACATGATTAGCCTTCATTTTCTACTCACCCCCATGCTGAACAACACTCTGGAGTACTTTTTTGATATCTCAAATGCATCTGGAGATCTGGGAGGCTTCTTGCTGTCTGCTGACATTCAAATAATGGAGGTCTATGGTGCCCGAGACAGAAAGGTCCATAAAAGTCCACAAAAACCAGATGAAAGTGCGCATTCAGCGTCTGCTCTGCCAATAATGCAAGCATAGAAAAAGAAATGTGCTGTTTACCTGTGCAAAGAAAGAAACAACGAAAGAAAAATGTCTGAGGACTTCAGTGTTGAGGAAGAGCATGAGTTCTTTGCCGAGCTGAATGCGCTGGTTTGGTCTGCCGGCTTCCGTAGCGTCGTGAACGCGCATGTGCGCGCTTTCAGGAAATCTTATACACTACTGTTTATGCTCTAAAAACATTCTAAATGACTTCGTTTCGAGTAAATTCTGGATGCTACCCACTCAGGACACTTGGAATACATTGGACGAGCAGTATGGAGGAATATTGACACGTTTTTGTGGACTTTTATGGACCTTTCTGTCTCGGGCACAATAGACCTCCATTATTTGAATGTCAGCAGACAGCAAGAAGCCTCCCAGATCTCCAGATGCATTTGAGATATCAAAAAAGTACTCCAGAGTGTTGTTCAGCATGGGGGTGAGTAGAAAATGAAGGCTAATCATGTTTTGGGTGTACTATTCCTTTAAATTTGAATCGAACCTGGACTCTCAAACATACAAAAAAATTAAATGTTGTTATTATTTCTTAAAAACAGAGAAGCCAACAATGCTGCTGTTTTACTAGAGTTTGAGAGGAAAAGTCTATAAATGAATAAATCATTATTAACAAGAGTCCTGTCCTCAACAAAGGCAGGAGGCATAAAGGTGTCTGGAAACAAAGTAATTAGTATTTAAAGAGGCAGTGACATTTTCTACAGAAATATTTTTCACCAGTTAGGTTTATAGTGGTTACTAGTCCTCTAGAAGTCTCAGAGACTTTACCGCCATGCACAGAGAAGATGCAAAAACCTCAAAAGTTCTACATCAGACTCGACAGGCTGCTGTTATTTTGTAAAATCCCAAATGCAAAGACTTAGGCTGGCAAAACTCGATCTGAATAAACCACAATAACCTCTGGAATAATGCTTTTCTTGATTTTTAAAACCATGTGGAGGCACAAAACCAAGCAACTTTCCTTTATAGATCACAGCTGTGCCACAGAGTTTGCTTCCAAGGCCCCCCTGCCCAATGTTTGCTCCGCTTCACACCCACATTTAAACATAAATGGTCCATGCACACAACAGCATGAATGTCATTGTGTATTTAAATGAGCAAGCTGAGCAATGATTTTCAGTGTTTCCAATGGCAACAACAGCCAAGAGATAGAAAAACCACGCAGTTTAACCAAGGTGTTGGTGTAGGAAGCGGTAATTATACCTTCATAGTCTGATGTAGACTGATCAGATTGACCAATCTGTACCGGCAGCTTTGCGTTTATTGTAGGTTGTAACATCCCAGATTTAGTGATAAATTCACTCAAGTATTTTGTCCCTAAAAGTGGCTTCAGGCATTATTATACACGAAGCAACAGAGTTTCTAACAGCTCTAGTTAATTAAAAAGTCAAAACAAAAAGATAATCTGGCGAAGCAGCCCCACCTTTAATACAGGCAAGAACAGTCCTGTTTAGATTACCTAACCCTAATCTTTGATAAATTTGATAAAGTACTGAATGAATGAATGAATGAATCCTCGTCCATTTATCACCCAAATATTTAGATCTATAGTTTATGGATATGTTTTAACTTCTAAACTTCTGTTTTAACTGATTATTTATTTTTACAGTATTTATATTTCTTCAGTATCCTGCACTTTGGATTAATTCTCCCTGACCTCGTCCTGTTTAACACCTGTAATGAACAGGGATGGCCTGGGTCCAGCTGGTCCGATCAGCTGTTAACCAGTCACCATCCTGGGCCAGGAAACATTGATTATCCCTGAAAATGAGTTTGCTCCCAATTCTCCCATTTTCAAAGTTTCCGGAATAGTTCTATCATCCTTGTGCACCATTATGCATGACGGGTTTAAATGTTTAACCTCTAGAGGTCTAGCTAGAGGTCTGAAATGTTCTGCATTTGTGGTTGACATGATGTAGAACACATATAATACAATAAAACCTGCTTTTTTTCCCTCAAGAATGTTTTTATTACTGCTGTTTAAAAAAGACCTAGCATTTTGAGAATAAAAAAAACAACAACTTTGAGTCATGTTTGAACTGATGCAGGTTGGTCTGTGTTCTACTCACCCAATTTTATTTACATATTCAGAAACTAGAGGGTGTTAGTTTTCAAATAATGTATTGCACGTGTATTTGGGGCTTACAGTTGTTAAGTTATTTGTTTTTTTCATGTGGGTATGCAAAATAGTCGAGGATTACCCAAAATGAGGTGGATGTTAAGAGGTTAAAGCAATTCATGTGGATTTCTCACACTTTAGCCCCATTTACACTACCCTCTGAAAACCAATCCATGCAGAGTTCGGACCGATCATGCTAGCACGGTTCCTCGCCTCCTAGTGACCATTTACGGTATTACTGCTCTCTACTGGAAACAAGCAAATCAACATGGCGGCAACAGTAACATTCAGAAAGTTTGGTAATAATTGTGATATTTTGTTGTTTGCGGAAAGTGGGGCGAAGAAGGCAGCTTTGGGTAAATTTACTTGACAGAGTCGGCTTTTAAGAAGTGGATTCGACAAATGATGGTCTAATCAGGGCTTACAGACGAAGGAAACAACGACAGACGTTGAGGTTCATCACACTGCAAAGCAGAATCATCACTGGAAATCATGTGGCAATCGTGTGGTAGGGAAGCTAATAATTTTATTAATGTCTGATTGCATGATTACGGGGTTACCGTGCCGAGTCCTACAGGTGAACTAGTACTAGTTAATCGCGGTGCGATTGTGTCTGGCACGGTCCGGTTCAGTTGTGCGTTCCATTTACACTCAACAGTTATCTCTTTTACCATGCTCAGACAGATCTTGGCACGTTTTCAAAAGGGTAGTATAAATGGGGCTTATGTTGCATTTATTTATTGATATGTGGTACAATTTATGTAAATATTTTCAATTTTGAATTTCAGCTGTGTTTTTTATTCTCAGTGTCAGGACCAAAATAAATTACAATATTTTTGGATCTGATAAAGTCAATCTATGATTTCAGTTTCATAAAAAGTGAAATTAAATAACAGAGAGAAATAGTGAGTTAATCTGGGTTCAGTTCCCCTCAATCACCATCTGTGTTGCCTTTCTCCAAAATATGGGACCTGTGCTGATGGCTCAGAGTTTGCTGTTTCAATTCACTGCAATTTTTATTTTATTTTTTTAATCACAACTTTGAGCCAAAGTTGGTGTACCCAATTTTCAGGCCCTGTATTGTGTGAACTCAAGCTTTATAAATGAGACCCCGGGTAACTCTATTTAAAGACCAATAAATGCTGTCTTATATTTTGGCCATAACCATCAACTGAAGGTAGGATATTGACTGCTCCTAACTTTTAACCACGACCCAACATAAAAGCACCTGTTTCCTACCTGTTTCATGTGGTCGTTCAGTGCGATCCGCATGCCTTTCTTGCGACTGAGCATCTCGCAGGACATGAGGGTGTAGAAGATCCCTGTGCAGGCCAGAGGAAGGCAGAAATAGAAGCCGAACAGCCACCAATCTTTAACTTCCTGGTAGAACTGAAAAAGAAAATCCACACACAACCAGTTGCAGTTTAATCTACAGAGCAGAAAATCATTTATTCTGGCTAAACATGCTTTGACTGAACACTGAAATGCCCACATAAAAATACATTTAGCTTAGAAAATTATAAAGTTATTCATCTTTGTCTTCCTCTTTGCTCTGATTATAGTTTAATAAGAGAATTTAAAGTGTATACCTCACTCAAATAACTAATGGTAATGGACTTAGTTTTATAAGATTCTCCTTAGATCCACTTTAGTGATCCCTGCTCAGTAAATTACAAAAGAAAAACTTTTCTATTTACTGTAAACTTTTGACTCTGGGTCTTTCCCTCTGACATAAAGAGGTCACATGTTTGACATTTCGTTGCAATTACCGTCTTCCTGTGCGGCGTTAGAAATGCACCGTGAAGATCACGAGAAGCAGTCACATTAGGATGATTTACGTGCGCTGTGCTGCGTTGTGTTGTAGGATTTTGTGATTGCTTTCTGGCAGAGACAAAGGGAGGCCCTGATTAAACGAACCGAATGTCCGGGCTTTGTGCTTTGAAGTGAACCATTCTGTTAACATTTGAACTCAAAGTAGCACCAGGTGCAGGCCGAAAACAATCCAAAGGTTTCCCTCCTTACCTCTACCCCGCAGAGGTGGAAGAGTGGGAACATATCAGGAACAAGGATGCATGAGAACACAGGTCTGCTGCTGGGTTCTTATTTCTCAGAAAAAGAGGAGGGAGCAGCTCCAATAAATATCAAAGTGTTTTTAGAGGTTTTCTGCCTTCTTATCTCAAATGATAGATAAACCCTTTCTTCCAGCGCCTGGTATTGTCGGCGTACAAAGTAATTTGTCTTCATGTTTAATCTCTGTATTACCAATGAATACCAGAGTCAGTCTTCTTCTCATGTTGTTCCTGGACTGAAATATTCAATTATCTACAATTCAGATTGTTTAGAGACTGTGCAAGCATGCGTGACGCCAATGAAGTGACGGACCAGGCTGTGATGATAACCTTTTATCACATTCCCAAGTCTTTGCAAAGTTTTTGCTCTATTTATCAAAAGCATTGTTGTCAAAGGCCGCAGGTTGACCTGTTCATATGCTAAACTGAGACGATAAACATGACAAATTTGATGTGAAGGGGAGGGGGTTGCTTCAACAGATGGGTCACAAGGTCGGCCAGTCCTCCTCTTTATTTTGTACAGAAAGAATATGTTGAAGAAACTGGTTGGCTCAAAGATCGACTCTTTGTTTGGTTGGGCCTCACTTAATGAAAACACCTCGGTAAAAACTAGCATTGACTTTATTTTACACTTCTGTGGATAAACTCAGGCCCAATCTCTTTTGCAGAATTTTATATCTTAACCATAACGACCTCACTCAACCATACAGGACACACTAACCAGAATGGGCTTTGAGGAACAAGCCTTAAAGGAGCAAGAATGGAAAATTTCAAGCAAAATCTGCAGTTAAGCCCAGAAATTGGCAGATTTGGGTAAATGGTGGTGTTTTAATTATACCAACATGTTTCTTCTGGAAGTAGCAGTGGAGTGGTAAAACCAATAAATGATCTCTGGACTGAGCAAAAGAATCACTTCAAGCTCATTATTGAGCTTGCCATAAAAAAATCTCTGCAGCAATAAATTGAAATCTTTATTTCTGGAGCTAATGCAAATAAATACTTTTAATGCTGTTTATTGAAAATAATACAAATCATTTAAAAAATAATAAATTTTTGAATAAAATCTAAATTGATACTTCTTTTGCATTGCTCCTTCCCTCTGTCAGTCAAAAAGTTCTGTGCTGAGTGAAAATCATTTTTACTCTAGATCTTCCAGGGGTATGCATAACTTTGGGAAGTTGCTGCAAACATGCAAAGCATGAAGAAAGGATCTGAAACATTTAGGAAGCTAAAGAGTACAAAACCTTTAAGCCTAGTACAGCCTTTTTAACAATATGTGATTACAGATGTCCCATATTGATATTGGTCCAATATCAACCAAAAAAATTAATATAGAAATATATCTAGCCTAAAATATCTTGGAAAGGGAAACTTTGTATCGATACACCCCTAAATATAATATTTTATTTACTAGAAAAACCCTAGAACAGCTCAGGCCTCTGCCAAGCAGCAAATTTTGCCCCAAATTGTGACTTTCACCTGTAGCTAAAGCTCACAAATGATCAGGATCATTACCAGATTTGAATGAATTGTTCCTGGCACGAGGCCCACCTCTGGTAAAAAAGATTTCCATCAAATCGGTCATGAGTTTTTAATTGATCCTGCTAACAAACCAACACCGTTCCCTTTTCTTGTGTTGTTCTCTTCAGTAAAATACCTCAGGACTTTTCTGATGCTGAGGCTGTCAATACTTACTGCTGCCCCCCTCTGGTTTTGGGGGGAACTGCTTGTTCCGCCAAATATCTCGCAATGTTGGAGAACCTTTTAAAAACATTCCTGTATCCAGATTATGATCTGAATCATAGCCAAAAGGTTATGGATTGGTCTTTGGCATGAGGGAAACCCCTGGTAAAATGTAATTAAAATCCATCCCTAACTTTACACATTATCCTGTGAATACACAGACAAACTCTCCTATTTAATAACATCCTTGGAAACTAGTTTTTAATGTATTTTAGCAGTGGCCATGCATCAATTTGCAGCTAGTATTGCATTAACTTTCAAAACTGATAGATAAAAACTAACACAGACTTATGGACTTGTAGAAAATATAATATTTGTACTGTAAAGTCTTCAAGAAGTAATACACAATTTCATTAATTCAATAGAAGCATTTTATTGATTATTTTTCTCCATAATGCAGGAAAATATAAGGAAAATGAACAGATTCCCATTAAGAGAAAAAAGATGAACTGACTCCATAAAAACACTGTTGGTTATTTACTTACTAAATGTGTTTTTTATTAACTTGGAAAGCTAAAATAAATTAAATGTGATGATGCTCCTTTTGCTCCAACCTGTTTAAATGTGGAAATGAACCAATTATCACCAGCCTTTTAGTTTGTGCACAAAAGCTGGACAATCCCAAATCACATTGGATATGAAAAAAAAAGATCTTCTAGATGCCACTGGTTGGGCTTAAACTATAGCATGCATATGAAGTTGTTGTTCCTGGTGTTGACAGTATGTGTTACATCAATAGGATACAGTATGTTGATGCTTCAGGTCTTTAAACCATTTGGCCCATTGTGCCTAAAAAGATTTCCACCTGTGCCAAATTCTGTAAAATGCACTTTACCATTAATTGGACCATAATACTTTTTGTTAGTTTACAATTTTTGATTCTAAAATGACCTTTTAAAGAAGAGAAAAAGTCAGTAATGTCCCACAGTGTGAGGTGATGTCTCACAATCAAGGCGATAATCTCTTAAATTATGCATGACGGCATAGGCCAAGGATATATGCTGGCAATAAGTCCCGCCCACTGTTTGAAAGCTCTTCTCATTGGATGCAACCTCATGTCGCTCCTTTTCTGAACAATCACTGTATCTAACTGATGCAGAAATGTTTTCCTTTAATAAAAAAAAAAAGCTTATGGCTAGAGATGTCCAGGTTATCCAGAGGTATATCTATGACTGTGTTGCTTTCATTATAGATGGTAATGTTGTGCCTGTTTTTCAGTGCTTAGACCTGTTTCTCTCCCAGACATATCGTTGGGCTCAGCTTTTACTGTAACTAAAAGTATGAGTTCTCTTTTATCCCTTTTAATATGAAATTCAAAGTATTCAACGTATTTATGGATCAGTGATTCTATGTTTCTGAAGTTTGTCTGCTTCTATCTCCTCTAAGCCCAGTCCACCTCATCTACTAACACTAAGCCTGGTTTTGATGAAAATGTATTTATGTTATAATGGAGTTTTTCCTCTCCACTGTAGCTGCATGTAAGCTTGGCATGAGAGAATGCTGAAGTTTTAACGACAAAATGCAAATCTCTACTGTCAGCACATGTTCATCCAGGACGAGAGGATCCTGTAAAGTCAAAGACTGGATGCAATCAGCTGGTTTTCCTTAGAAAGAAAACTTTGATCCAATCTGAGTGGAACATCTGATTAAATTGTCTCTTTAAAAAGCCGGTAAATGACGTGTGTTAAACTGAACTGAATTGAACTGTCAGAACCTATGGCCAGGGAGAAGAGAAATTGGGATACACTGTTTGTTTAACTCAACGGGACCTACAGTACAGGGCGACCCATTTGACTGGGAAACTCAGTTTCTCGTGATAGCAAGCAAACCAAGAGCCTAAAACGAGCACATCAAACAAAGCAACCAGGAACCACAGTAAGGATTTATTTTTCCTTCAGGAAAAGCTTTGAAATTTTAATTTTGACCCAGGAAAAAAGAATATCTCACACAGAGATATTCTTTGTCTGTGCATTATTGTGAACAAAAGGAGAAAATCCATGCATGGAACTGACATCCATGGGACATTTGTGAAGCAATCTTCAGCAAGAAAGGCAAATATGGTTGTCATCACAAAAACATAATTATTGTATTTTTATGATAGTAGGTGGCAGAATTTGACTGGTTTGATCATTTCTTGAGTTTAAACTGAAAAAAAATCCATATCCATAAAGCTGGCAGTGGCTGAAAATAATAGCCAGCCCCACAACAGCAAAGAAAAACATCCATATTAACAGCCTCCTACCTTCATAAAGCTAGTGGCCTGCTCTGGGTGCAGTAGGCAGATGCGCAACTTGTTCCCCCTGTATGACATCTCCATCATGTCAAACGCCAGCGCCTCTGGGACGGCCAGAACCACGGCAACCATCCATATCAGGGTCACCTCCACCGCCTTCCACAGTGGGATCCCCATCCCCTTCACTCTGCTCCATGAAGTCACAGCATGGTAGCTATAAAGGAATGTAAAGACAGACACTCAAGCTCAAATATGTCCATATTTTTAGTTAACAGGAAGTGTGTGTGTATCCGCTCACCGGTCAATGCTGAGGGCACACAGGCTGAGGACGGTGATTCCCACTGAGGCTTTCTGGATGAATGGCATCAGCTTACAGACATACACACCAAACGGCCAATCCTCAGCTATTAGCTGTGTTAAAAAAAATAATAAAACAATAGATGGAAGAGAGAAAAAATGTAAAAGGAGAGATGTGAGTACCACCTGTGCAAACAGGCAGAGACAGAGAGAGAGATCACTCAAAGGTTCATTGATGGATCCTATTGTCTTTAATTCTTCCAAAGCTAATTTAGTCAACGCCAAAAGCTGGAGCAGATGGCGGCTCCTCGCTGCGATTTGGGGGGAAATAAGGCCAGTTCAGGTCTGGACTGAGAAAGTAATAACAAACACACCAGTACATATAATTATTCTTGCGGCTCTAAAGGGAAATAAATTAACCATCATCTCAAAATAAATCCACATATTTCCTCTTTTTTTGTAACGTTACATATTAGGTTGCAACATTGGAAAATTAAACTAAATTAACCATCTTTTTTTATGTTTTTCTGGAAAAAGAAAACCCATCTGAAGTGCCCCAGCATATCGTCGTGACAACCTGAAGGGGTATTTACAGACCTAAGTTGAGCTAAGTGGAAATCTTAGGACTGGACCTTTGCTATGTTAATTTATACAAAGTTTTCCTTTTAGCTCTGAACTTTATGTTCAGAGTTTCTGCACAGGTGGAAGAATTTCTAAGCTTTAGCATCATTGAAGAGTTTTCTATGTTGACTTCATTGCATTTTGTTCCTTCTGATGAAGGAACGCATGAAAAAGGAACAATGTGGTCAGTGTATGTTCTCATTCCTTTAACAATATCTTTGTTCTGTACATTCTATCATTCAGGTTTGTTTAGGATAGATTAGTAGACTCTCTAACTTAGCTCCTTCTTCCATGCAAACCTCTTTACTTTTATATGTATTTTTTAATTTTTAAAACTTTTTTGTCATAAAAAAATGGGGCAAACGGAAAAAAAAAACAAGAAATAAAAGAGGCAGAGATCAATAATACCCTATGGACCAGGGTACACCATCTCAGCATTTTTCGACCATATTTTCTAGAATTTGTCCAGAAAGACTTTACTGTTAAATGAGTCTTTCTCTCATGTAGATTTCTTGAATAACGTTGAAAAACTCTTCCTTGGTTGGAGGATCCAATTTTAGCCACTTCCTGATAATGAATTTCTCCTTCACCACTAAAAGTATCCTGAGCAAATGCTTTTCTGCTTTTCTCCAGTTTGTTTGATCAATATTCTGTAGGCAAATACCATCACAATAAGCAAGGAGTTATACACCAAAATGCATTATAGATAAGCTAGTTGTCACCACTAAGGCGGGTAAACAGGTAAATACTAGAAAATATGGAAATGGTTAGCTCCTTTAGTGCCACAGTCCCCAACATGAGTCTCCGTTGCTTTGATGTCTTTTTAAATGGCTGTAATAAATGTTCTGACCACATCTCTCCAACAAAATTCAAGTAAAGGAATTTGACATACAGTATAGCTTCCCAACTTCCATTTGAGATCAAGATTTTTCCCATCTTCTATTGTATGTTTTTTTGGCATGTTTACCTCGAATAGAATTATATAATACATGTATATAACTTTATTGAAATAGTGTCCAACCTGCAGATATCTATAGAAATTGTCCTAACTTAATCCACATTTATCTCACAGTAGTTAAAAACTCATAAATGTCACCATGTGGATAAAAGAGTAGTTTGAAGTCAGTCCGGCCTGTAATTTCTTATCCAGGTTAGTTGTTTTAAACTCTGAATTATATGCTCACCACCTTATTGAAACCAATGTTCAACCCTTTATTTTATTCACCGTGTGTCAGGATAAGGCGGTTATATTACGGAGTTAGATTTGGGCCAAAAGTTTTGTAAAAAAAAAAAACAACAAAAAATGTAACCTGAAAAATTAAAGTTTGTTTAAAAGAAAAAAACGAATCCAAAACAATTATGTTGAACCCAACTCAACGAATTAAATTGTTTTGCAACTGAAGACTCAAAAAAAAAAAAAAAAAACAATAAAAAAAATTCTGAAACAGGAAAAAAAAACATTTTGCAACTAAAACAGTCAGAAGCTACTTTTCAGATGATTTTTTTTCCGGCTTCAAACCTATAGTTCTGTTTTGGCGTGGAGGGCGGGGCTTCAAATCGCGGAGGTGTGAAATGGAGACTCAACTCAGCAGCTGAACAACATATTCCCAGCTTTTGCATTCAGGGAATCTGGAAACTGGATTTATCTGTAATACATTACCAATATTCTGGATGTATGCGACTGATGTTGACATATAACATGAGTCATCAATAAAAGCGTGAATACACAATGAAAACTTTATGGCCCAAAATTATCTCCATACTGTGTAGAAATTATTTTCTTCCTGTTGCTTTGTGATTATTCCTCACCTAAAATACCAACAGAGTACTTGGAGCCAAATATTGTGACTTATCCAATGTGAAAGATTTAAGAAAGAATGACTGTTTGCAGATTTAAACCCAAGTTATGAGAAATAAACTTATTAATGAAAAACTTAATAAGAATGGTCTGATGACTGGATGAATCAAAAGGAAACATCTAACATTAAAGTGATTGGATTAAATCACATTAAACTGGAACCAGAGTCAAGCTTGTATAATAAATATAAACAGTTAGAATAAGAAGGCCTGAATTCTTAATTATTTTTGACTGACCTGTCCAAAATATAAATCTAATTAGCGTAAATGAAATAAACTGGAATCTTTAATGTAATATGATTGATTCTGAGGAAGGCTTTTCTTTCCTGGCTTCAGTTCTGAAAGATGTCACACAAAACAGAAGGAGACCGAAGTCAAACACACAGTTAGGAAAATCAGATTACCTTATACACATTGATGGGGATGGCAATGATTATATAAAGCAGGTCTCCCAGGGCCAGGCTGCCAATCAGAACATTGGGCCCGTTCCTCATGCACTTGTTCCTGTATATGATCCTGAGCAGCGTGGAGTTGCCAATGATCCCCACCACAAAGATCAGGCAGGAAATGATGGTGTTCACATACTTGAAGGCATGTTTGATCTCTGTTTGCTTCAAACACATGGGGGGGAAAGGGCTCCGTGGGCGGCCCGGCTGAGGGGGTGGAAGCTGGACAGACACGTTGCCCTTGGAGGTCTCTAAGGGGTCGGGGACGCTCTGGGAATCACGGACCAACCTGGAGGCTCCGGCTTCCGCCGCCATCAGGAGACACAACAGCACAACGCCTCTCATTTTCACAAACCCTCCGGCTGTTACAATAATTCTGGGGTACACCAGGTGTTGCACGGGATCTGTCCAAACCCGTGTGTCCTGCAGGAGAAACACATCAAGCATTGTGTTTAACGAATGCAGAAACATTGTTACAGACTTTCAGAATAAAAGCATATTTCTATAAACAGGTTCATTCCTGTTTTTAGAATTTTTTTTTTTATATATAAAAGTTATAGCAATTTCAAAAGAATACAGAACAAATTCTATACCTGCAACCTTGGGATTGGAGACAAATTTATCATCTTTTAACTCATGAAAACAACTTTTAAAAACATTTTTTTAGTTGGAGTTGAGCAAAGCTTTAAGAAAGAAAAACACTCTATTATTTATTTCCCTCACTTTGAGTAAAAGCCCTAAATAATAATTTGCCTTCACCATGCAGCCCAACTTTATTCTTAATAATAAGACTTAGATATTGTATTTAGTTGTATTGAACATTTGGTTTGTCTATTTCTACCTTCACTTCCATAATCCCTTTTAATCAAAAATTCGTTTTTTTTCTGGTTGTGTCCAAATGTCCGCCCTATAGAGAATTTATAGGAGTATTCCATTTTATATGTGTTTGAATATCTAGTAGATGAAAAAAGTGGACTCATATTGAAATTTCACACATTGTACCTTGAGAAGTAGTGCACATCAATGGTCACTAGACGAGCAAAGATATATTGGAAAGCATCATGTGATTTGATTTTGGGGTTAGAGAAAACAAAGATGGTGCAGGCACCGTGCTGGGAGCCAGAGTCATGTGACCAAAAGGGAGTGAAAAGTAGTGGCCATGTGTCCCAATGCTCATTTAAATTAGTGCAATGTAAAGTCCACTATATAGTCCCAACTCTATGTAGTGATTGAGGGGTTAGGGGTTAGGGCGGACGTTCAGACATGCATTTTGTGTCAGACATCCAGGTCTGCAGGCACAGAGTAATCAAACAAAGATTAACGGATTGACATTTCATACCATTTAAAATTTTGTTTTTTCACCACTTTTTGAGCTGAAGCACTGAAAGATTAATAAGCTTGGCTGGTGTCACAACTACTGCATTTACCATCTCAAAGGTAGCTGTTGCAGTTAGCTCAAGCCAATCAGGACACTTGTACAGATGATAATTAGACTCTGTTAATGAGAAGTGTATCACGATAAGATATTAATATCAAATATCAATCTGACATTAACACAAAACATTAATACAGGTTGCTGGTAGAAGTTCTCTGCTTCTGTTTAAAGTTTCTATAAACAATTGGTTTTCTGTTTTAGTAATATTACTTCGCCAAGCCCTTTTCAACATAATACTTTCCAAAAAAATAATAACAGCATTTATGATTTGTGCTAATATTGTATCAGATCAATATTTTATAGGTAAATTCTTAAAGCGGAACTATCGATATAGTATCAGAAAAAAAAAATCGTATCTGGACAACCCTAGATAATGATATCTTCCAAGATCATGTAAACTTATGTAAAGTCCTCTGCTGCAGCAGCAGTACTTCTAAACTGTGTTATAAAAAAAAAAAGGAATAAATTTAATTATTTAAAAAGTACAATATGTAAATAATTGTTTTAAAAATATTGATGTATCCAAAATAAATATTTACTTCTGGTTAAGATGCCAACATCAACAGAAACATTTTCTGGTCCAATTGGAATAGTTGCCAGATCCTGGTAGATCGAGATGCAAAAAGAGGGTCAACATCATCCGACTTTTGACTGTTGGTGCCGACTTAAGGGGCACCCTTTGAGTGAGTAGCGACCTCGTGGTTAGGGCATAGAGCTTTGAATCCAGAGGTTCTGAGTTTGAGCCCTTCTCCCACAGACTGCCACTCCGAGTCCCTGAGGAAAGACCCTTAAACCCACTCTGCTCCCTGGGCGCCGCACCATGGCAGCCCACTGCTCCCCAAGGCGATGGGTTAAATGCAGAGAGTTTATTTCATTGTTCTGTAGTTGTGACGGTGTAATGACAATAAAAAAGCTGAAAAAAAAGGCTGGAAACATAGGGGCTCAGAAGGTTGCTGCTTTCATTTTAGTCAGATAGATATAGAGATAGATATACTAACCATTGGTCAGCATTATATTTGGGGGACCTGGCAACTGACTGGCAAACAGTAGTTGCATCCCAGAACAGTATGGAACGAGAGAAAAATTCATTTTCAAGGCAAATTAAATCAGTTTCAAACAATAAATCCAGTTAAGTGAAGGTTATTTTTAAACTAATACATTTAAAAAATAACGTAGGGACCCTTGGCTAGTCCCTACAATTCCTTTTTAAATATCAATCTTTGTACTAAAATAATCTCTCTGTCATGATTTGTGGACATTAAGATCTAAAAAGAAGCATCATCTCTGGTCAGACCCTGTAAATCAGTGAAGGGGTGGAGTCAGAGTAGAAAAATATGCAAGGTGGGGTCACTCCAGTGGCTGGAAGTTGGAGGGGATTTTGCTGGCAGTTGGAGGGAAGTGAGCTGCCATTCAGCTGGCGTTTGACTGGGAGGGGCCATTTTGAATGGTTGCCACTATATTCAAAATTATTCAGGTCAATTCCAATTCAGTGTCTGGCGGAGCAACTTTTTGTTTACATATGGACCTTAACCACCGAGGTGGAAGGAAAAAATAAACTTTTGTCTTACAAATAAAGACAAGTTCAGCTAGTTTTCAAGGTAAGAGTTCTGCACTTTCAGGGGTCGTCAGAGTAAACGAGAGCTGGTTCATGATTTTATTTGGCTCCAGAGAACAATGTTAATTTATGTTGAGTCCCTTTTCAGTAGTTCTGGAGTCTCCTGAAAATGTCCAGAAGGCTTGGACTAAGTTATGTTAAAAGGTTAGGCAAGTCATCCACCACCTAAATGTCTTCTGTAATAACATTTTATGATAAATTTAAAAGCAAAAGGTCAATCTTGAAGAGTTAATGCATGTAAAGTACCAGCAGACATGTGAGATATTTTACGATTTTTAAAAAGCATTCACTGCATGTCTGCTCCTGGTTCAAGCCGCCATTTAAACCAGACCCTAGTCTTTAAAAGCTGTTCTCAGTCAAAGTCATAGATCAGAATGCCTCTGCTCATGTCTCTTAAAGAGTTGCTGAGTTCAGATCTTGACCCCTCTCAGTGCAAATAAACAACCACAGCATTTGAATTATTTTTTCAACTACAGCAGGAAAACAACCATTTTTTTTTTAACTATAAAAGCCAGGTTTTACAAAACATATTAAAGCTTCATTTCCAGGTTAAAAAGCGTGCTATAGCCATTTCTATATCAAACATGCAATAGTCTTGATATATTAACAGTGATCTGAATTTATCTGTTGCTTTAGGCTCAGAAACCAGTTCCCTGGTAGGAGCAGGAGGGTTATCGTAGCTCAACAACAACATAGAAATAAACTCAGATGTCGCTTACAGGGATTCTTGAAGACTTTCAGTTGGAGAAGATTTACAGGAAACAGAAATAAAATAATTTGATCCCAATTTAGACTTCTACAGCCTCCCTATGCAAACACTGTAACGCGTGGAATGAGCGATGCGTCTGTTTTAAATATTAAAGCCAAGAACTAGCATTCTGCTGGAAATAAATCAAAATCTGATATAGTCTGCTTTGAGTAATTATTTTCCAGGAAAACCTAATTATCCAAGACTTTTGCCACAATAATGTACCTGACACATTTCTGATCGTATTATGCAAACTGTGTGTGCTCAGATTGGCAGGTATGGGAAAATTACAGTAGCATAGGTTTTGGTAAAAAGATATGAACATTTACAAAACAAAGTGTGAGGTACCACAGGTCAAGTTATTTTTAACACATTTAACTTTGATTTCCTTAAAATTAGCGACTAATGATGGGGGAATCTTTCAGCTAGCTGAAGAGCAGTGCACAGCAACAGGTTGTTTTTTCCTCCTTACATAATACTAATACACATTGTGGATTAACCGATCTATCTTCAAGCATCACATGACAACCATCACCAAGACTTCTATAATGTGGTTTTACTGGCTTTTGGTTATTAACACGCGACAGTGACTGCTGCATAATGTTCACACTCACCACATCAGCAGGGCTGCCAGATGTCACTGACTCATGTTTTCCAGCCCAAAAAAATTTCATAAACCGCCTGGTTATACGAAATCTCGCCCAATTTGAACCAAAGTCTATTGATCTCTTAGGCCATAAATCTAAAGGAAAAATTTTTCACCCATATATGGCCATCCTAACCTGCCAGATTGGGAAACATGCCAACCTGGCAACAATGCACGTAGGACGGGAAATGTTAGCCTTTAGATGCAAAATCCCATCATGCACCGCAACATATTTTTGCAAAATATTCAAATGTAAATTCACCAAATATAAGAGGAACATCTTAGTTTGGATTAAAGAAAGCATTTTAGTTTTATTATAATTTAGTTGTTGCAAGGATTTTACAGTTTGAAGAAATAGAAAATGACACCATATTCCAACCGTCACTAGGATGTGCATGACAAGGAAGGGCTATATATACTGCATGCATCATTTAGGTAGCTACCATTTCATTACTTCTTCAGCTCCTTTGATTATTTACAGTCACAGGTAGATGCGTTGGCTGGAGAGTAAGTGTTGGGGCCGCTATGGTTTAAGGAGGGCCGGCCCTCGCACGCTAAAATTCGGACCGGCAAATGCCCGGTATCACAGATTACCAGTCTGAGCCCGCTCTCATTTATGTTCACATTTAAAAGTTGGCAGTAACAATTTAAAGTATCCTTGAAGAACTAATTTATTTTATTGTTGTTTTTTTTCAAATAGAGAAACTGTTATATATTTCAAGCAATTATTCTCTGAATTTTGATGATAGATTAATGATAGATTAGCATTAGGAAAATGTTACATAGCACCCTTAAAACACTTGTTTTACACAGGAGTGTGATAACTTGAGCAAACAGGGGGATAACACAGATTGATAAACTGTATTGACCTTTTCCACAAAGAGCGAAGCCACAAAAGGTACTTCCTAAGGAAGCTGGCTATTCAAACATTGCTGTATCCTTAAATATCAAAGGAAGTCCAGTAGAAGGAAAATGTTTGGTAAAAAAGCAAAAGGACTAACTGAGACTCGGCAGAAACATGATCCAAAGCCAACTTGCGACTTTTGGGGATATTTAAAAGCGCTGCTATATGCTTGAATGTTAATGGAAAGTTGAGTGGAAGGAAAAAACGTGAAGCTGCCTCAATGACAATGATATCACCTAACCTTATATAAAATCCATGCATTGTTAAAAGGGAAAATGAGAAACAGGCAGATGAGGGTTTCTAATAAACCAAGCTTAAAGTAAGATTATACTTCTACCCACTCCTTTGAACATTTAAAATATTCCTTTACTGTATTACTGCTCTTCTTCTGATTTCTTTTTTGTCTAAATATGTAAAGTTTTCTTGATCTCCTCCATTTAACACCACAGTTATTTATTCAAACTGAGCTCTGAGCAAATATTCAGCATATGCTGCAAATGGACATGCTTCACAGCAGACTGGCTTCTCTGCATTACAGATAAAACATTTCTATTGGCCTGAAAACAGAATTTGGGCTTTTTGTTAGCTGTAAGCCAAATTCATCAAATTTAACAAAAGTTAACAATTTAATAATTTAGTAATTATTCATAAATAGCGTATAAAATAGCATATATGAGATAAATGAACTTATTATTAAAACTCCAGCTCAGACTGTTTATTCAAAATTTGCCCTCTTAAAGGCAGAGACTTTATATGTTTCAAGTTTATTTTTAAAAAACAAACGCGCCCACACTTTATTAATATTAAAATCACAAGCATGAGGACATAAAGGATGTTCTTTTCATTCTGCAAAATAAAGAAGGTGGGGGTTGGTGAAAGAAAACTCAGGAAAAACAAATGGTTCAGTGATAACTGAAGTTCAGCGATGAACAGGGTTCCTGTGTGTCCAGAGATTCTTTAGTTGGACAGATTTTGGCTCTGAGCCTCTAAAGAATCATGCGTATCCCTAAAAAATGCCCCCGAGGCATCTTAGGATAAATGAGCCGTCTGATTGAGAAGGGCACATATCTAGAGAGCAGGAACACACCATCAGAGGGCATGTTCACACAATGAGAGCCTCTCAGACTGGGAGATCTCTTAATATGATGGCTGAGTTTTGTACAGAAATGCATGCAACTCTATGTTTTAATAATAATTAACAAGGGCAATTTTTTTAAATGATACAGATGCAGTTAACAAACCAAACGACAAATATAAGAGCGTGCAAAACCTGAAAAGGTTTTGATGCTGGAAACGATGATGCCCAAATCACAAGAAACCAGTTTTCTTTCTCTTTTTTTCGGCCTACGTTTGTATAAACATTCAACCCTGTGAATGATGCCTTTGTGTTGGATAACATGGCAGCTTATTAGGATATTAGAGCAAGATTTTCTGATTTAATTAGGAAGCTGATCCTTTTATTCCATTAGAATTGGCTTTACAAACCATCTCTGACCTTCAGCTCTTATGGCTCCATTTTCTAGAAAATAGGGAGGGGAAAAATTTGGCAGGCTGCTGCCTAAAGGGGTGGAAGAGCTTTCTGCTGGTGGTCAGAACATGCAAAGCAAGAGGAAGAAGTGAGTGTTGACAGTGTTTAAACACACATCCAAAAAAAAAAAAAAAAAAAAAACTCCTGCTGCAAAGTTTATCAAAACAATAAAAGGAGAAGGCATCCACTTAAAATGCAAAGTGAAAGAAAAGGTTTCACAGCTGAGGTGCAATGATAGGGAAGCAGCAAAGAGGGTTTCCTGAATGCCTATAGTTTGAGTCAAATTTACACAAATTATTCAACTGAATCAGAGCAAAACGATCAGAATTTGGTTTCCAAAAGTATTGAGTCCTTATTGTCTGAGCTGCATTTGGAAATTGAAAGATAACCTTGGAAACAAAACTAATTATCTAAATAATTGACACCATTATAAAACAGAGCAAACTAAACCGAAATAAACCAACTAGAGAGGAATAACCGTAATGCATATTATAAAGTGAAACGAAATTTCTTTAAAGTAGATTTTTGTTGTCCCTGTGCAATCATGATCGATTGATTACTAAAAGAAAAAAAGCAAAGTAAAGCAAAAAAAAAAAAAAAAAAGTTAATTAAAGTTAGTTTATCTGATGTTGGGTAGAAAAAAAGTGGAATCAAGTGTCTGTGGAGATTTCCAGCAGATAATCAGACAGCTTGACTTACTGATTCCCGGATCTCCTGCGGGTTTTGCGTCTCTAATCTTTCGGATCAATATTCCCACAGACTCGATCCGATCCCAGCAGTAATTCAGGATTTATTGCCGAGGTTTCAGTCGTATCTCCCCGGTGTTAAATATCCCAGTTCCTCCTCCTGCAGCAGAGGGTCCTCCTCTCTCTGCTCCCTCTGAGCTCCTTCTCTGCTCCAGGTCTGCTTTTATAGCTGCAGCCCAGGAGGCTGCAGGAGCAGCCAATCACATCCCAGAACCGATCCGCTCCACGCGACAGAGATGCGCTTCAGACGCACAGATCTGCGCGCTTTTTTACCCCTTTCAAATATTTACCCATTAGCGGTTCTAGACAGGGGCCTACGGGGGCCAGTGCCCCCTTAGATCATGTCCTGGCCCCTGTACTAAAGACATAATACTAAGAGAAATTCTGATGATGATATGTGCTGGAGCATAAATGGTTTCTGATAGGTCCTTTTTGGATCGATTTAATTTTTTTTTTCTTTAAAAAATTCTGTTTTACTAGTTATTTAAATTAGGTTATAGCTTCAGAGATAGGATCCCAGTTTTCATCTGTTTTTTGTTTTTTTTTTAAAGAAAATAAAATCTAACTTTTACGGCTGACTTTATCAGTTTTTTTTTTAGTTCTAATTCTGATTTTATAGAAAACTATAATTGTAACTTAAATGAAGTTAAAAATAATTAAAATTCCTAAATGATGAATGTATCTTGACCTAATATTCCAAATAATAACTTTATTTGATCTTTTTTTATATATTTATATAGCTGCAATTTCTTGAGTTGCCTTTTAACTATGCTAAGGGACTTTTATTTTGATTTTAACAATAATCCAAATGAACATTTTTGAGCCAAAAATAAATATTTTCAGTTAGAAGACATATTATTTTAATTAAACCTGATTGAAGAAATTTCACTTCATGCAGCTTTTAATATATTTGAATACCTAGCCCAGTTTTTTTGCTTCATGCATTTCTGTGCCCCTTTGACCCCCCCGGCCCCCTGGAACATTTGGTCTAGAACCACCACTGTAGTTACAAAACAACAACATGACCATCACACTTATTTCCAGACCAATAAAAAGGCTTACATCATCTCTCTGTAACTGGGACACTTTCACTGAGGAAGCATGGATGCATTATTTCAAATTTTATAGCATATTCTGTTACTGAAACTAATCTGTTTAAATAGCTCAATTACTCTAATAAAAAAACGGGTAAAATTACCACATAATTTGCTTAATATTCCATCTGAGCAGATTATGTTGGTTAGTTTATTATTAAGGAAACAAAAAAAAGCAAACAAATCATTAATTTTTAAGATACAATAACTGCTCTGGTTAATACCGGTACTGAAAAATTAATCCTTCCAAATCAAATAATCCAGAATAAAAATAGCCTTGGATTAAAAGCAACATTTAGAGTTAAAATTAACAATTAAATGTTAACTAAACCTGCTTTGCTTTGCTTTCTTACTGATTGCTTCATAAGTAATTTTCTTTAAAATCATTTTATCACTAAAGTTGTTCATTGTATAGCCTTTATGACTTGTTATTCTTTATCTTGCTACTGAATTGCATGTTTTGGCTGTGCTTTCCTATTATTATTATTATTTTTTTATTAAGTTTGCTATAGAAATCCTCTAATCTGGCATGGTTGTTTCCCCTGCGAACCTCAGCAAGGATTAGCAATTCATTCTCTTCATTCTCATATCTATATTTATTCACTGGATTGCTGATTGGCCATTGGTAGTGAGGGGTTAAAGTGAAGCCACCGGCAGCCATATTGGTACTCCCTCTTTAGACCAGTCACAATGTAAAAAAATAAGTTCGCTTCAGTATCAAACAACGGCGATGTTCTCCTTTTCAAGGGGACTTAAGACCTTTAAATTAAAGATTAATTCATCACTTTGACACACACTTGCTGTTTCATAGCATCAGTAGATTACTGTAACTTATAATAAAAAAGGCACATCACATTGCATAGTCTGTATAAAGTCACTGAAGTCTATAAATCATGTTATATGAAATATTATACAAAATTAATGCGTTAATAGAGCATAAAAATACAGATTTGCCAAAAGGGCTAAATTAATTATTTTCATGTAATATACATGTATTTATTACGTTGTTAAGGTAATTACATCTTACATAAAACACCAACAAAAGAGAATATCTAATATTTCTCTAAAATATTCTTTGTTTCAGTAATAAATCAGCCCAAATCTGCTTTAAGTTAAAGCTGGTTCCACTTTGACTATGAATTTAAAATGACAAATAAAATGTCTGCACCTGTTTTCCAATATGTCACAAAAATGACAACAGTAATTGTATTTAGGAAACACATAAAAAAAATATATAAAATTATCATTTCAGTCCTAACCAAAAAAATCTGGTGTCAAATGAGGCCCCAAGGCCACAGCTTGTACATCCCTTATGTAAATGATCCACTACCTCCAAAGCTAATAAAACAACAAACCAGACCAGAATTCAAATATGAAATAAAACAATCAGTCGATCTATTTGCAGGTGGTTTCGTAAGAATTTCTGCTGCTTTGTAACATTTTGTTATGTTGCCCACAATTGTCTTTTTTAAACTAACTGATATCTCATCAAAAGGCGTCCACATATTTCCTTTCCAACTAGCTGCACACTTTGCAGGCCAGAATGAGCAAAAACAGGGACTGTGTCCAAGTCTCGCTCCTTTTAGCAACATGGTGAAAACATAGACACACACTCACATGCAAACACAAGAGGAAACAAAGGGCCTTTTTGTGGAGTCTCTTTAATGACACCCATCCCCTGCTCTATTTTAGGAGGTGACTATTCCTGGAGCACCATTACAGTCATTAACACAGTCTCATATTATTACTCCATTATCTGAGATTAGCACCATTACATACAGGCACTCAACGTGGCATTACCATGCACCTGTGTGAGTGTGTGGTTTTTGTGTGTGTGCGAGATAAGAGTGCGGATATGCTGCTGTCCCTGATGCCGTGCAGGATGTGGCCTTGTTGAACGGTCATTTATTGTTTTATGGACGTTTACACTTGGAGAGTTGATGTGAAACTGGTTCTGCTTCCTCCTTGCCTTCCTCAGGAAGAAACAAAAGTTTGAACTTGAAGCAGTGCAGCTTTTGAATAACTTTTGAAGCCACCAGAGTCTCATTCAAAAGTATAAAGACGCTGATAGGAAAGGGACAGATTCACTTATTAAGCTGAGATAATGAGTCTAAGCATGGCATGGATCCATTAGGCTGAGCTCCACATGGATGGACCTGAAAAACACTCCTTAGATGGGATGTTTCCATCTGCACCACGTTTCGTCCGGAGGAACATGAAGGAACTGATATGAAACACAATCCCATTGCTGGCATTTCTGTGTCATGTTAAATCACTCAGAGGGAATTATTCCTTTTGAGTTTTTTTTTGGATATAACTCTCCACCTGGCCTCTTCTGTTACATTAATGTTTAAAATCTAATTTCTGCCAAACATGATTTTCCATATAAATCAAATAGGAGGCCAATTCGACCTTCTACATTTTTTTTTTAGATCTTTCTTTCAAAGAAGAAAAAAAACCAAAAATGCTTTTGTTCACAGTTTTGCAACAGTTTCAACATCGCAAGCAAAGTTAATAAACAAGCTTTACCACAAAGGGAGGGACATTTGTCATTTTTGCATGCTTCAGAATTTTAACCAGAATTTTAAACAAACATTCTGGGAGTTGAACAACAGGCTTCTCTCACACAACATTAGCTTTTATTCGCTGTTATGCTTTTGATTGGTCAAACTGAATTTTTGTGGGTTCACAATGGCAGAAAACATTAAAATGCTTCATCTCACACAATGAAGGAATGTTGTATAAAACAGTATAAAACAGCACCACAGAGCACAGAGAAATTCAAACTGGTCTGCACTGTAACCCATCCAGACTCTACACCTGCTAACCCTGGTCAGCTCACGTGGATTTCTATTCAAACCATTTATTCTGATACCCCTAAATAAAACCCAAAGCAATTGCTGGTCCTCAGAGGTCTCCTATTCATTAAATTAAGCCCATCTGTGTGTGATTTAATCCAGCTGTTCTGTAAAAGGATCCACAATTAGCTGTAACAATTGTCTTAATTTGAGAAATATTTTTGCATTAAATAGAACAAAAAAAAAATCTGGCTGTGTCTATATATCACTACTTTACACCATTTAAAATGAATGTCCGAACGTCTAGTGCAGGGGTAACCAATTAAAAATCAGCGGGGTCCGAATAAAAAATACCAACCAGAAAAGGTCAGAAGACATTTTTAATTATAATCTTTTACTTTTAACAGAAGTCAACACTGAAATAAAATAAGGTGTTTATGCATCCAATGAATTTTTAAATAAAAAAAAAAAAAGAAAATTTTTCCATTTTAAAATGTGTTAAAATGTGTAAAAAGTGTGTTTTTTAGTAGAGAACAACAGTCGTTCAGTTTGGTTGATGGGCAATTTCCTGAATCACATATTTTATAAAACACCTGAGCTGAAGCTGAAGGCTTTAAACCTGGGTTTGAATGGAGACAAAGCCATTATAAAGCGTACGTCATGTAATTTACTGGATTCGGACCCAAGATTCAACTACAAAAGGTCAGTGACATTTAAAGTATTTATTGAAATACAAGCAGGGTTTAAACAGCGCTGGCTCCCGGGTGTGCAGCTCTCGATAACCGGCCGGGAGGTCCAAGAGGCAGAGAGACAGGTTAGAGGCTGCAGTGGCAGGTTAGAACTGAGGAGTTGACGAAGGACTAACCTGGTAACGAGAGGAGCCAGAGCGCTGAGTGTCAGCCAGAGTGGTTTCGGGACAGAGACATCCACTTGTTTGCTGGGGCAGACCGCAGAGCGGTCGACAAACTGTTTGGGCTTTCCTGGGGCTTTAGTCCAGAGGAAGTCTAGGTTCAGGACCGGGGTCCAATAAAGCAGCAGAGGTACAAGAGGCTGTAATTCAGCAGATATTTCTGATTCCAGTTCCAGGTCCAATTTCCTGATAAACACAGAGAGTAAAGGGGGCTCAGGTACTCACAGGTAGAAAAGGGTTCAGAAGCACAAATGGTCAATCTAAGATCCAGTATCAGGACTCAGATAGGCAGACAAATCCAGAGAGGGATCAGCCAGGCTCAGAATC